TTAATTCTTCTTCAGTTGAACTCTCTCAGCTTCTGACAAAAACTAAGCCTATACTGCTGAACACTTCTTTATAACCACTTTGCACGGACCAAGCACAAAGAACAGCCTGTATTGTTAAGGAGGCTTGTTTAATGATCCGTTACCTAGCAATGGATGTCCTACTGTGGCGCGCGTTTTCTTCTGCGGAATGCGTTTACCGGGTCATTGCCTAGCAATGGGTATACATGTCACAATATTATATACATTTTAAAACCGGCTACGGCAATTGGACTTATTTCATCCTGTGGTGGGTGATTGTATTAGTGGTTTTAAAATTTCAGGTTAAAAAACAGGGAGTAATCATGTAATAAGCGTAAGTACAAGATATTATGTTGGGCTGGCTGTCAAGTGTCTCCCTCTACTGAAGTATGTTTCTATACTTTAAGCAATCCGTTACAAAAAAATAGAAAACTTTTATATGTTTTCAGTATTCACTGTTTTTGACTAATTTACTAACTATATAGGACCTAATTTTTCCTAAATATCACAAGGTACACTAAGAAATTACTAAGTCAAACGTGCAAGAATGTTGTAATAAATTACGTATGCTAACAATGTATTTATTTATGTATCTTCGATGTTGTACTCCTGCAGGTTTTAATAATAGAACAGGAATTTCTGGCCACAATTTTAGACACATCGGAAATATAAACACTGCACTGCGTATTTTCGCTTACTATATGAACGAACTAACACAGTGTGTGGAAGTTTTATTGTCATTTGGAAAGGAAATACGTCACTTCTTCAGCTTCATTCTACTCCTCACCTACAATATGCCCGGCATAAATATTTTGTCAATACGGGAGTTCACCACTAGGCGCAATTTTACTGCCCTATATGCTGAATGACATTCATCTCAACGTCCACGAGAAGTACACAGCAGAGAGAGGTCATTCTCAGGCGTGTCGCACAAACACCCCTCCCCCCACCCCCAACTAGTCAAAAAGGGATGTCGCCAGGAAACACTCGAGAATATTCTCCCCAAAGCTTTTCAAGCTTCTTCTTCTCCAAGCAGAAGTACAGCACTGACTTGAAAGAAAGAAAGAAAGAAAGAAAGAAAGAAAGAAAGAAAGAAAGAAAGAAAGAAAGTTATACAATACAAAATATTTACCTCTAAACGTATGAGTTCATACTTGGATGACAAACAGTGAAATGGGGGCAAAATATGGCCCTAGAAAAAGAGGGATTTACAGACCCTATCAAGGTCTACACATAACATAAGCAATATACTTCTCTAGGTCTGGTGACATCTATAAAATCAGGTGTCTACATGGCTTTTTCAGTCATTGAAATTTTCAAATTCCCTTATATAATCACTTGTTAAACATGTGATGGCCAAGCAAGTCTACTTATAAACACCAAAATAAAAAATATCGTTAGGATTCTCATATCAGGATGAATGAGATGGGAGGGACGTGTAGCACGTATGAAGAATGTGAGACATGAGTACCTGAATTGAAGACAGCGTAGATGGGGAAAGAATATTATAATGTATCTCAAATAGGATAAGAGGATATGGATTGGATTCATCTGGCTCAGGATAGTGATCAGTAAACACGGTTATGAACTTACGGGTTCCATAAAAGACAAATACTGCTACTACTTCTCAAGTGGAATTTTGTTCCACAAAGCTACTTTTTTAAAAATTCGCCGGTAGAACTAGATAAGAATTAAGACAGGTTCTCTGTATTCTGTAACGACATCTCAGAGAAGTAGGGAGAGTTCCATGGTGAAAGAAATATTGATCTGCTTTTTCGACATCCGAGGTGTAATCCACTTTGAATTTGTGCCCGAAGGGACCACTGTTAATCAGACATTTTACGTGGAGGTGTTGAAAAGCTTCTTGATGTCGCGAAGTGCAAATGAGGGGACTGTGGGTAGATCGCACACGGTTTCTTCATCACGACAACACGCCGGCATAGCCTTCGCTTCGAGTATCGCAGTCTCTAACAGGAAAAGCATCTCTGCCATGGATCATTCGTCGTAATCTCCTGGCTTTACTCCAACAGACTTCTGGCAGCTTTCAAAGAAGCTGAAAAAAAAGTGTTTCTCGGACATTGAGGACATTAAATCATATGTGGGAAAAAAAATTGACAGACATTGCTGTTCAGGATTTTAAAACTGTTAGAACAACGACCGAATATCTAGGAATATTGTAAAGATTTGAAGGAGATTACTTAAACTAATTTAGGCAGTTAATAATTGCAGCTCTTAAAATAAACTTTTCAAAAATTAATCTCGATAATTATTTATATACGAGAACGATATAATTTTGTCTCTATCTCTGATAAATAGCCTCCAATTGCATCCGTTTTATTGGTGGAGATATGGTTGCTGAATGAGACTAGTTTGTAAGAAATTTAATATGTAATAAACTTATACAACTTTTACAGATGAACATTCAATTTTACACTTGTCAAAGTAAGGAGTGAATGCAAGCGGCATCGTGTGTATAAGTTACTGAGGAAGGCTACAGAAATCTCTAGCAATTATCTGTGTTGGTTCTTATTTCTGCTTAGCCTTTTGCTTGGTCATTGTAGCCCATATTGTCTAGGACGTACTGCTTTGTATCATTTCATTTTATTCCTTGCTAATTTTTTATTATTATTTTTATTAAAAAGGTGAACCTATCCCTGTAGCAAACACTAAAGACCGATAGGGTTGTGAGACGTCGAGGCTCCCAAATTTTGTCTAGACAATCGTCTCACAGATAGCTGTAATTTTATCAAACTTACGCGCCGGCAGCCCTTTACCCCCAGGAAGATATTATTGTTTAAGAAGAAATGTATATCTTGTATGATTATGTCTGTTGAATTAAATTTCAGAAAATTTGCCTAGAAATAACTTCAGGCTATACATTTAAGGATACTTGAAATTTGTAATTTATATCTTATACATTATGAATGTAAGAATGACTGATATCAGTAAAGTAATACTAAATTAACAACAAAATGGCTACAGCATTTCGAAACAATGTCTGGAATTCGAATCCTAAGGCAGCTTCTTCTTCATAAAACAAAGGGTAAAAGGCAAAACGAACGACGTGAAATTTGAGAGGAAAAATTTGAATCAATGTAACCGGAGCAGGCAGAGAGCTTAATTCGTGATGTTGATTGTAATGATTAAAATTCCTCTTATACATTTTATACCAAAAGTCTAATTAGAATGATCAGCATTCCGGCTTTGCAACCGGAGGGTTCCGTGTTCAATTCTCGGTCTAGTTACAAGCTGAAATCAGGAATGTCTCAAGTGAGGCCACGTCAGTTTCCTTCCAAATCCCTTCCAATTCTTTGTTCAGTAATCATACCATTAAGAAAAACGAACATAAGATAAAGCTATTCCTGTAACAGGTCATGAAGGCCCATGGGGTTGTGAGCCGTCGAGGTTCCCACATTTTCTCTAGGAGCCCACTCACAGGCGGTAAAGTTGTCAGCCTTACGCACTAGTCACCTTTAGCCCCAAGGCCGATTCCTCGTACTCATTTCTGTTAGAGGCTAAGTTGATCCCAGGGCCGTAGTGCGGATGGAAGGATAAGGTCAATTAAAAAATCTACATCATCGGGACTCGAACCCACGACTTTCAGGCTTGTAGCATAGTGCCTCAACTAACTACACTATCGCGTGCCCAATTATCCAATTATGTGATCCAATACAGTGGCTCTGCTGGCAGTAAACTTAAATTAATTTCGAAATCAAAATTAACTGCAATTACGTTTGTTTAAAAATTAATTTAATTATTCATCGATTTCAGATTAAGCTTACAAACTATACTAATCGAGGAAGAGTGGACAGCTCTAAAAAACTCCGGTAGCACGTATTTTCCAAACGCGTTCTTTTGTATTGAAGCAACTCTTTTCCTTCATTCATTGTTTCAGTTGTTGCTGATGCAAATATTGTAGCGGAAGAGTTAAAACAGAAGGGGGGG